AAAATATCAGAGAAATTCACTCGTTTCTTCACAAAGCCAGATACATGGACTTTTTATGCAGAACTCTGTGTTAGTAGGGAAGACAGATTTTCCTTAAATAAGCCAACCAACTTAATCATACTGCATTCCTAAATAGCCACAACCTTTCAGCAGCAGCACTGACAAGCTCAACAACACATATTTTGATCCTCTGGATGTCTGTCTGTGACTCATTTTCCTTTTTGGGGACATTTGGGTGGACTGGAGAAATGCACCATGAAGAAAGAACTGGAGATCGGGTCTCAGATGTAAGATGATGTGCTTCCTCACAACAGCGAAGGCTCAGTGCATACCAAAACAATGTTACTTCCACCTGTCAGAGGGAGGAAGATTCATGCTTTTATCAAATTATGTATCAGATGATAAAATCTAGTGTCGCTGTACTGATTCCATTAGGGCACTCTTTAACACAGCCCAGATTTTGAGTTTGATTCACCAGAGGCAGGTGCTTGATTAATTTCCATAAATCTACTCCTACGTTTGATGTTAACTGCGAGCTTTAAATGGGTTGCTGAATCAGGTCCACTTAGGGATACCCAATGCATCTCAGGTTAAAGCTGCACTGCAACAGACTCCAGGTCTGCTGGAACATACCCAACACAGGATGGACTCTGCAGGATGTATTACATGTAAATAAATATGTGGATTTTGGGAAGCATAGTATCATGAAGAAGTGGCCATAAAAAAAAAGGGAAAAAAAACCCAAAACCAAGGCAAAGCAGAAGAAAGTTCTTTGACGGTGCTCTCAACTATGATATTAACTCAGACAAGAGTTTACATTCACATTATTTACTAACAGGTGGCATTTATTAGAAAATTACAATGCAACAGCGGGCAGAAAACAGGAAAGCACACATTCCTCTTTGGAAGAGGGTTTTTCTATCTTTTTTTGTTGTTGTTTTTGTTTCTGTAACTAATTTATATATTTATTTTTACAAAGTAAGCCCAGTTAGTGAAAATTATTTTATGCTCCCTTGCTACTATACCAACAAAATGAAATCCAAGTTCCTGCATGATGTGACATGTAAACCATTTGTGCTGAAGTGACTGCCAGAAGTGGATGGAAAGTTTTTATCCTGAAGAAACACTCAAATAAAATGCTAGCGTAATCTAAAATTATTCACTGACAGTAACTGCAGCACTTTTTGTGTCTTCTCTTTTTAATCGTCAATTTAGCCGAGTCTAGTATTCAACAACTTAGAGCATCAGCAGAGAAAGTGATGTGTTTTCCCTTCTGATGTTCAGTAAATCTGAAAACAAGTGGGGTTTTTTTAAAAGGAAGACATAAAACAATTTTGTTTGAATTTCATGGGAAAAAAACCCATCAGTAGTGCTGCCACCTAAGGTAAAGCACACGTTTTCAAAGAAAGTGTTACGAGTGTGTTACAAATGCTAACATTTTGCCAGTCTCATTCAGATCCTGATGCAGGTCAGGTTTTAAAAGCTGGACAGCCTCAGCTCCACCTAGATGCTGTGATCACAACTGCGTGCGCTTATCTCGCTTAGCGTTCTCGTGTGCCATGATTCAGCTTCATTTCCTTTCTTTAAGGCGGTTAGAAGTCAACAAAAATAGATAAATGGCTTATTTCTTTTTCATACTGTAACTTCAGATTTTCCAGACAGCCACTTGCTCCTTTGCTCAGAGAAAGTTAGAACTGAGTGCTCATTTTTCTGCACCAGGAAAAAAAGTGACAGTTCATTAGCTTTTGCTATCAATCTCTAAAATTACACAGTCACATCAATCCACCTCCTCTGTCCTATGGAGCTTCTCTGTTATCACAAAGCCTGTTCAAAATTTCCCCAAGGGCCAAGACCAACATTTGAAAAAGAGTCTAACTTTGTACGAGACCAAAAGCGTGCCCTATTACCATCTGAGACATCCCTGCCCGACCTCGTTCTTTCTAGTCCTGTTATTTCAGACTTGTATCAGTTCTCAGTCTGACCACAGCTGGGAGTAGTGATCTCCACCCTGCCCCCTCAAGCCTGTGTAACATTAGTTCGAATCTTTTATTCATTCACTGACAGAAATATCAAGAGGTTTCTTTAAATGACAGCAATATGCCCGGACGACTGATCTGCCAAAGGATTCTTTAGCATCGTGGAAATAACTGGCTATCAGAGAGAGACTGCTTTGAAGTTATCCTTTGCAGCACCCAGAGTAGTTGGGTTGGATCAGTTTTTACTGGATTACTTTCACGGCAAGCTCTTTTTGTCCCAGCTGAACAGTTTCTTTGTGAGCAGTGAATGAGGATGCATCTTGGGAATGATCTGATACTTCAAAAGATGATTCTTGTAGTTTATCTTGCAGTAAGCTTCTCTTCTGAAGGAAATGCTGCAGAGCCCTTGTATTGATCACAATGATAGCGCATGCAATGTGCCTTTTATCACTGGGCTGTCTGCACTATCACTTTTCAATATAACTCTGAAGCAAATCCTTGCAAGCTAGGACTTTTATTAATTGATGTATGGGTAGATATATGCTGTCTTCTATAATGCAACATTTTTTTCTGCAAACACTTCAAAACAAAG